TTTCTAGCCATTGGTCTTTCTTGATGATGTGTCAAAAGTAGGACACAACCCAGGAGGATGAAGTCTCAACATCTTTGCTTCTAAGAAGCTTGCCAGCTGTATTTCCTCTAACACTGATTGTTCATTCTTCTCACAGTCCATGGTATATTCAATATTCTTCACCAACACCACAATTCAAATCCATCAGTTCTTCCTCTGGCTTCTTTTTTTCATTACCCAGTTTCATATATATATGAGACAATCAAAAAGTTCATCATTTGGGTCAATTCTTCAGTGACATCTTTGATTTTTAGAACTTTACAGAAGTCCTTTGGAGCAGATCTGCCCAATGCAATACATCATTTGACTTCTTGACTGTTGCATCCATGGTCATTGACTGTTAACAGCCCTGGTTGCTCTCTATTTAATCATATATTGTTTGTCCATATTCTATCCAGATTGTGGGCTCCATGAGGACAGGGAATGGGCCAGTCTATTTCACAGTTGTTATGCTGAACATCCAGCACCTAGCAAAGTGCCTGCTTTATATTAAAATATAAATCCTCCAAGATCCTAGGTGCTGTAGACCCTACTGATATCCCAAAGCTCATCTCTTTCTTCTCTTCCCCTTGCTCTCTCTCTGCTCCAGCCACACTGGCTTCATTGCTGTTCACCAAACATGCCAAGCTTATTCTCATCTCAAGACCTTTGCCTATTCTGTTCCCTTTGCCTGGAACAATTTTTCCATTCAGTACACAGCTCCAAAGTCAAATCCACAGAGAAACTGTCTCTGTGTCCTGGGAAAACTGCCCTCCCATCACTCTCTATTTATGTTCAACATCACCTCACTCTGTTTGAAATTGTCTTACAGAGATACCTGTTTTCCTGCTTAGGATATGTTCACTAGATGAGGGCAAGAGGCAGAGTCTGGCTTGTCCATGTGGTACCCATTTCCCACCTCAACAGCTGCATCATAGGTGTCAGTTGAACAAAAATATGAATGGATGCCAGTAACAGTTGTCATACAGTTGACTCCAACTAATGGCAGCCACATGTGTTTCAGAGTAGAAGTGTGTGCCATAGGGTTTTTAATGGCCAATTTGTCAGAATTAGATTGCCAGGCCTTTCTTCCAAGTCACCTCTGGGTGGGCTTGAATCTCCAACCTTTTGTTAATAGTTGAGCACTTAACCATTTGCACAACCCAGGGATAAATAACAAAACCGAAACCTTTTTGTCAAGTCAATTGTGACCCAAGGCAACTCCATGTGTATCGCAGTAGAATTGGTCCATGCAATTTTCTTGGCTGTAAATTTAATGGAAGCAAATAGGACTTTCCTCCGTTGTACTGCTGGGTGGGTTCAAATTGGCAATCTTTAGTTAGTACTAGAGTGCAAACCATTTGCGCCACCTAGGGACTATGCTATTGACCAAACATGCAAGCAAGATATGTTGAGTATCGGTGACTGGAACGTGAAAGTCGGAAACAAAGAAGAATCACCAGTAGTTGAAAAATATGGCCTTAGTGATAGAAATTATGCCAGAGATCACATGATAGAGTTTTGCAAGACCTACAACTTATTCATTGCAAATATCTTTTTTCACCAACATAAACGGTGGCTATACATGTGGACTTTGCCAGATAGAATAAACAGGAATCAGATTGACTACATCTGTGCACAGAGGTGATGGAGAA